CAGTACAACAGGCTTCTATGCTAATTTCCTCTTCTTTATGTCTTCTATAGAGAAAAAAACACTAAAATCTTAGAAAGTTATTAATGCCAACAAATGTCAGTAATTTCAATGTTTAGACAAAGTTAACACAGCCAGAAGTTAGCTGGTGTCAAGACAAATCTTAGGTGAAGGTTAGTAGAGTTTATACAGTATTTTACCAGATTATAATACTATAAAGTCTCAAATTTCCTCTTGGACCTTTCTACAATGTTTGTACTTTGTCCAAAATAGAGATCTCATTTTAATAATTAATAACTGTAGTGAGAATCATCTAGAGTTCTAGATTCACAAAAAATTAAGAGAAAATCTAGCCTAAAGCTTGTCCAGTTAGATCACTTTAATTTATGCTTTAGACCACGTGAAAGAGTTTCAGAAAGAACAGGCTTTTGAGTTAGCCACTTTTATTGAAGCAGGAGATAAGCAGTAGTGGCTGTTCCAAAGAGACAGCTTTATTATAATGTAACCATTGCTTTGTCAAAGACTAGGTCCTTAATAATGGGATGGTGGGGGTGAGGAGCAACAGAAACATAGACCAATAAAAGAATGAAAACAGAATTTCAAAAATATGAAGGACAATATACATCCAGAGCCAAAGGTTTAGAAATGGGGGGAAAATACCTACAAACTGGAGCTAGTTTTACAAATTTCATAATGCTGAAGTGTATTTTCACTTCACAACTGGATTCACACACTTATACTGCTTTAGCGCTCACTGAAATGACACCTCCACTAGAAAGTGCTGTTGATAGCATTTATCCAGGCATTCAGTTGCCAATGTCAATAAAAATGTGTGCACAGCAGGCTGATGGGGAAGACTTACTAAAGCAGGATGTTGTACCAGCAGAAGAGATATGGATAAGTGTGGTTATTCTCACAGGATTTGTATCACACTAAGGGAAACTAACAGCCCCTTTTAAAAAAAGAGAGGTGCTTTAAGGCAATGTTCCCAGTGCTCCATCACATCTTTTCTGAGTTGCACATACTGCATTCCTGGTTCTCTGTTGTGCTTCCATCACGTTCTTCTGCATGGCAATTTTTGCTTTGTCCACTCAATTTTCAACACCTGAATGCTGATGATTTTGCATACTGAAATGAGCATCAAATGATTGGATGGCAACACAAGCCTGGAAAAATCAATGACTGCCTAACTTTCCGGGGCAGAAAACTAAGACCCAGTAACTGTCAATTAAATTCACTGTATCTCAAAGACATTTGAGTTTCACAAGCTGCTTTGTGCATGGAAAAATGGATAAACATCATGTTCCACTCGCATCCACTGCTGCAATCAGTCAGCAGAAATGGTTTGGGATCTGGAAAGCCTGGAGGAAGAGCTGGCATTACCTAGGCATGCAAGGTCTTCAGCACACATTTTGTTGCACAGGCTACTCACAGTAGGCAATGCTTGACAAAAGCAAAACAAAAAAAGACACAACACAAACAAACAAACAAAACAAAACCCAACCCCCCCAAAAAAACCCCACAACAAAACAAAAAACAACAAAACAACAAACAACAAAACAACAAATAAAAAGCCAACAACACATGAAAAATGATCATCCACAGCAGAGTGACATTTACAGCAATGATGCATATCTTATTTTTAATTCTTTTTATCTCTGCTATATTGCCTTTGATTATGAAAACTGAAACTAATATTCTTCCCTAGTTACACAAGTCCTGATGGACCTCTGGAACAGGGGACGTATCACAATTTATACCATGAACTTTATGACAAGGTGAAAAGGCAGAGTCAGTTTTCTGTAACCAGTCTGTTCCACTGGCAAGACGGAATTGCCAAATGAGCCTCTCAAGATTCCCTGGCTTTAAATTTAGAAGACACACTTCAAGACCACCACAGAAAGTAATTGCCTCTCATAACAAGATAGACCAAGAGCAGTGAACACACCAAAGCATGCCAACAGTGTTGATATTACAGAACCAAGCATTTTGATTGCTGGTACAGTATGCTGTATTTTAGCTGATATTTGCAACAGCATTAAATAAAAAGTGCAAGTATTACAGGCCAGGGAGTAAAAAGCATAGGGATACCAATTGCTGGAGAAGCCTGTTACAAGAGCAACTTCCAGACCACATTCAGGTGCCATATGACTGAAAAAGCTTTTAAAAGAGGTGCACTTGCATATTATGCCGTAGTTATAGTAGTGCTTTGCACTCTTGTGAACAAACAGGTCTTGCCTTCTAAATTAATTTTAGTTACTTCTTCACTAGAGATCAGAATGCTACCAGGTGATACGGTGAAAATGCAGGACGGTCCTTAATTGTTTTGGAAGTTTAAATACATAGTGACTTTCACCCAGGAAAGCTTTATATATTTATATTATATATATATTTTTATATATATATGTAAAGAGAAAAGAGGTTATTTTGCTTTAGTAGGCAAAGGCAAGATAGAGTTAGCATGAGCTACACAGGTGCAGAAAACTTCATACTTCTATAGTAAGTGAGCAGTAAATATGGTTTGTACTCTGGCAACTAGAACAGGAGACTATAGTTCCAACGTAGGATGAATAATCTGTGAAAAATAAAACAGTGACTGATAGCATACAAGAGAGTTTTATTCTGTACTGCTTTTTAGTCTGAATTTGTTGCCCCAGAACTGTAATGCTGATTTAATACTTAGTTTTAGCTTATCTTCACTTTGATACTGATGCATTTTAGTCTGTTCTCATAGATCCATTTCACACATATCTGCTTGTGACCACCACAGCAGGAGTTTGTTTTTCCTCACTTCTTTTACCGGTAGATCAAGGTTGGCTTTTCCAAAGGTTTGTGGATGTTGTGGCTCCAAGTGCAAGGCTTCATATAAACAGCCATTCCCAACTAGATATATATAAACTTAAGACCTGGGAAATTATAAGGAACAAAGTCTGAAGTTTTCTTATGAAGAACATCAAAACAAAGCAGAGACCTTTGTTTCACAGGTGTCAACAGCTTCACATATCATTAAGTACTGCAGGGAGAATATGCAAGAATAGCATTCCAGTTGAAACCACTGGGATGGGATTTGTCTGGATCCTCAGCAGATGATGTGCCAATTTCAACATTGTTAATTCATTATGAGCAGCAGTGATCCAAACAGATATATTATTCATAAGAAAATCAAAGTGCCAAGAAAGGGGACCACATATGATTAGTTGTTTCAGGCCTCTTTGCAGATGGTTGTATCATAAGAGAATTGTGCCAGCCAAGACACTCTACAAATTGGTAGAGAGCCAGACTGCAGAGCAATCAGATTCACACTTAAAGACAGACACTGCAAGTAATTGTATACTGAGACCATAAAATGGACTTACCAGAAGACCACTTATAGTGTCATGTTTATACTCGGTTGACAGATCCTTTGCATAAGGTCAGGCTGAATGCAAGTTATTGGGTTTTATGTACGGATCCTTTGCCGTTTTTGTACACACTCAGGTGTTACTCAAAACACAGCATCTATTGTCTTCTTGAACCTGGCCACTGCACTAACACTACAGCTTCAGTCAGGCCCTGGGCTTATAGAAAAGTCAGTGCTCAGACACCTATACTTAATTTACAATGCATGAATTCCTAAATTTAAGTCATTACAAAGAATTAATTGAAGGCCAGTCAGATGAGCACTGAAACCAAAAAGCAATGGAAAGAAGAGAGGAAAGAAGGAAGAAGGGGAAGAGACAGAATGAGAGGTTAAGCTTTCATGGATGGAATGAATGGAAAAAAGCAGCATGCAAATAATAGCTTCTAACCACAGAACTTCTACAGATAGAATAGTTCAGACCTTGCCTTAAGCCTGATTGTGTTCATTCAACATAATCTATAAATTGACACAGGCAAGCTAGGCAGCTATAGACCCACATAATTTGGTTCAATTTGATACCACCACCCAAATTTAACTAAAGCAAAATAAACAGCAGGCTTAGAATCACATCCTGTTGAATTTGGCTGAGGAGCAATTACTACCCGAGACCATACTCCACCAGCATTTGAAATAAGATGTCACTTAGTGACAATGGATTAAAATGCTCTCTGGAAGAAAGACCAAAGCTCAGACCCTCCTCCAGACACACATCCTGTTTGAGAGTCAACGTTGCATGACACAATGCTATTTAAGTGAACTTAAGCAAGAAGGTAGATGACATCCTACAACCTCACATGTCCTAGGTAATATTATATATAGGTGGATGCTCTCATTGTCAGATAAATCTGTATTAAAGTAGCAGAAGCTGCTACCTGTAATGGAGCAATCCCTACTTTGATTCTCACAAGACCCAGCTCCTAAAGAGGTTTCAAGGGTGCGAATCCCAAGCAGAATCAAATATTTACACTCTGATCCTCTGAACTGAAGGACAAATGCTTATGTCGTCATCACATCTGCCAGCTTAGGTGACTCTTTGGCTCACACTGATTACCATTCTAAGGCACTGCCTATTTCTTTAAAACAAGTAGCAAGAGTGTTTACTTAATTCAGGGATGGCAATCTTGCTTCCAGAAGAGAGTGTTGTAATGCTGAGTATCATATATTTGTGCTTCCATTTGTGAATCTAGCTAGAGATACTAGGTCATGAATAAATTAGGAGTGTCAAACAATACCAAAAGACAAACGCCTCAGATAATTAATCCCCCGGTAAACAATTACGTCTAATTCTGTGTTGAAAAGAAAACAAATCTACCCAGTATAAACCAAACCTATGCTGCAGGTAGAGGCCACTTCTAGGCCTGTGACAGGTCTGCCAAACACATTGGGACATTTGTTCCACAAAAAACAAATTAAGTACAAAGCAGATACTGTAATACCCTTCAGCTCTCGAATACTTGACAAGCTAGGTTTTACAAAGGTACAGACTTGACTTTCCATAGGTAAGATAAACACAAACACTAATCTTGGGTTTCTAAATATATTGTTTATTTATAATTAAACATTAACATCTGAATAGAATCTGCAAGCGTGCAGTGATGATCTTTCAGTGATGTTTCTGTTTAAACTGAAGTCCACAGTAGCCACATGTTCCCGTCTTTGTATTTTTGTCCTGCAAAAATATAAAAGCTGCTAGTTTCACTTTATAAAACCATCAGAAACTACAAATTTTCTCTTATGCGTAAGTGCCATCTTAAAATGGATTAATATAGCTGAAATACAGAGTTTAATCTTATTTGAAACACTAGAAGCAAGGTAATTTCATAGTTATTTGAATACAGAATAGGAATTGGCATTTCCAAGTTATATTTAGACATGAAGTTTCACCAATAATGTAAACTGACAAGAGTTAGCTGCAGGAAGGAGGAAATTTCAGTAGGCTTCAGTAGAGAAATTTTAAAAGAAAATGTTTTGAAGAAGCAGTTACTACTGTATAAAATCTTATTCTTCTGTCCAAAATATACATTTAATTTTTTTTAATTTTAGAAATGCGACCGATTGTGAGCTGTTATTGTAGTAATCTGTTATTTAGCAACATAACTATTTGCAGTCATGAAGCAAAGTAAACTCATGGTTCCCCTTCCTTATTATAGGATTGAGGATAAGACAACACTTATTCTTCACTGGTTCTATGACCATGATTGATATGTTCAATCTTCAGAACTAGCAAGATTACCAAAGACTGAAAGAGGGGTTTGTTTTTTTCATAGAATCATCGAATGGTTTGGGTTGGAAGGGACCTTAAAGATCATCCAGTTCCAATCCCCTGTATGGGTAGGGACCCCTCCCACTAGACCAGGTTGCTAAGAGCTCTGACCAACCCAGCCTTGAACACTACCAGGGATGAGGCTTCCATAAGTTCCCTGGCAAGCTGTTCAAGCATCTTTTTCCTCTTGAACTTGCAAGATTCAAAATAAACTGCATATTCCTAAGAATACTGCAAATGTACCCTCAATCTACACAGTGGCATTTAAATTATTAGTATCTCAAAACACGGCAAGCATGTTGTTTTTTGCTCCAAAGCATTATTTGCTCATATTACTTCAGTTAATCTCTTTTTTAAAAAAAACATTATCTCATCAAACAAATAAAAATTTCAAAATGAAATTTCTTGAGCTTCTAAGGGAAACCCTCTAACTCTTGTGATTAGAAATCTTAATTTTTATTAGGCACCAAATAAAATTAGCACCTTGGGTGATTACTTCTTTTACTTTGTTAAACTAACATGCTAATCTTACAAACAAGAACTTACAGGCAAAACATGCTATATGCCAAACAAAGACATTACCAAGTTTATGTATACTTTAGGATGACCCAAAGCTCCACCACCTCCATCACATGATATCACTCTGCTTTCAACTTGACTCACAGGCTGTTCTGCTATTAAATCAATCGCAAAGTTCTTGTTCACCTGTAAGAGAAAAAGGAAGCTTTCAGATACCTTCCCCACTGAGACACAAAGGAATTGCTGTTTACTACCTCCCCAAGTTTTTCTACTACAGCCATCTTGAGAAGATCCTTCATAGGTTTCCTCCCACCTCCTACACCAACTCTTAGGTTGTCCTATAAGCCAGATCAGTGAACTACACATTAAGCTCTGCAAAAGGAACCCCCTTCCCCTGACACAAAGGCCACAACAGTGCTCAGGTTTACAACATGACCTGAGCAGATTCAGCAGGTAGGTGAGCAGAAACAAGCAGCTAAACCAGAATATATTTAACTGACACTGCTTCTATATTGTGCTTCGATAAAATTGCAGAAGACTCACTGCTGATAAACTAAAAAATAATGGTGGGACAAGTAAGGTCAGGAGTGAGATAAAACAACTGCTGGTTATTTAGCGCCTCCTGCCATGTACCTTATTCCATCAGAAATCTCAGGAAAACACGAATACGGTACCTAACAACAGTCAGAAAGGCAAATTGTTCAGCATTAGAATAAAGAAAAATCTTTAAATTTCACTATGCCACTTCATAAATCCATCTTATACACGCTTCCTGAATATGCTGAAAAGTAGAGCTTTTTCCTAGATCATGCCTACGTGGCCTGGCAAATGTATTCACCTCTGGACAGGTCTGAACACAGCAATGTTCACCACCGCAGGACCTACAGCACCCAGCCACTGCACGTTCCTCCCTCATCCACATCAGCTTCTTCCAACCTGGTCTGCACCAGCACTGAGCTGACAACCAACCCTATGCCTCAAGTAAACATGCTCCAGGAAGGGCCCATTTTCAAAGGCAACATTACACGTGCAAGAGTATATAACAACATGTACACCCAAAGAAGGCACTATCTCCTGCTCTGTGTATAAGGTTCATAAACATGCTGGTATTTGAATGAAGATGAGCTTCTTAGGAAAAAAATAGCTAAATGTCCATTAAATGAATCCCTAAAAATTACAATAGTATTTTTGTATAGTCCTCGTACACAACTTCAGACTTAAAGATCACCTTTTGCTGAAGAAGAAACTATGCTGAACTGAAAACCCTGGGTGTTCCTCACCACAGAGTGTGAACTATCCTCCCAGAAGTAAACTACTGCAGCATTTTAAGTGGCATTGTCATTTACTTATTTCCCGTGTAGAAGCCCCATTTTTGCCACATACCACGAGTTAAATTGTGTCCATGAAACAATGAGGTGAGCTCAATACAAAAACTCAGAAATCAGCATAATGAGTTCAGGTTAATTCAGGAAGGGAATAATCATATACAACTACAAAAAAAATCTACCACACCTTGTATTTGATGCCTCTATTATAAATATACATCTACAGCATTAACACTAAAGCATTAATCAGATGCTCAAGCATGAAAGAACACCATTTAGCTGAAACAAAGACTGTTTCTCTCCCAAAGGCTGGGAGATCCCTCACGGAGCTGTGCTGCTCAAATATTAGACTGAACTTGGTGCTAACAAATGTAAATCTCACGTGCCAATCTACTGATAAGCAACAGGCCTACAAGATAACTTCACAGTAGTACATTTGGCTGATGATGGTGTTATCAAACTCTGCCTTTGAGACTTTGTTATTTCAAAATACTCTACATTTTAGTTTTATTTGGTTACACCACTGTTTCAGCAAATGCTTCCCAGGCTCTGGAAATGAAGTGGCCTCTTTAAAATCTCTTTTTGGGTAAAGATCAAGATTTTAACTATGCAGAAACAAGCTTCAAAACACACACTTAAACAGATATATAAATGCACAAGTCAGCAGAGCATTTAATGATGTGATTTTTCTGAACACAAATGGCACTAAAAACATGCTTTGTTTTCTTAAAACATACTTTAAAAAAAAGTGGTCCAAGATTAAGATGCTCAAATGCCTACAGCTTCCACAGCCTAACTGTAAGCACTTAACAGGCGTAGGGCTAGCCTCAAATTTTCCAAATTTGCCAAAAGTAGAGAGGCACACAGAAACTACTATAAACTGTCTTAAAATAAGAATTTTCACCATAGTGAAAAAAAAACCGCAGAAGCCCAAAATCGAAAGCAGCCTGGGTTTGATAGGGTTGGGGTTTTTTTGTTTAATTTGTTTTGGTCCTCGTTTTTGGGTTTCGCTGGCTTGTTGATTACTTTTTAAAATTACAATCAACTTGAGGATATCAAGCATAAAAAAAACACCAACCCCACCCCCCTCCCACCCCGAGTAAAAGTAAAATGAGTTACCTCCTTTTGTCGTCCAACAAATCTTACTCTTCTATAATCCTTTTCGTCATAGACCTAATGTACAAAATAACCTTTATTTTAAAAGCAACAACCACAAATAAAAAACACAAAGGCTTACAGCACTATCAAGACTAAACAGCTTGAATAGCTTTCTCAGTTTCAAGTGTTGTCACCACTGGTTACAAGTATGCAGGGCACAGGAAAAGTAGCTTTGATTTGCCTCACAAAGGAAAAGATATTTTAGGTTAGAAAGTAGAAAAGAAGGGGTGTTGTGGTGGTTTAAAGCCAGTAAGAGGAAGACACTGGAACAGGTTGTCCAGGAAGTTGCAGACACCCTATCCATGGAAGTGGGCCAGGTTGGATGGGGCTTTGAGCAACCTGCTCCAGTGGGAGGTGTCTCTGCCAATACAGACGAGTTGGCACTACATGATCTTTAATCCCCCTTCCAACCCAAACCACTCTGTGATACAGATGCCTGAGCTCTGAGATAGACAAACGTACGAAATACGACTTATAGCGCTGTTCCTTGATCCCACGCTGCCATCCGTAAGGTGAACGACAGGAGGAAATGCCAAGTTTCATAATTATTCATGCAGGACTGGCAGGGAGCCCCCCCCCCC